GCCGTTGGTTATTGGCTACGTGGCATTGCATAATTGCATGCCTTTGCATGTTTTTTTTTTTTTTTCTACCTTTAATTCATTTGTTTTTAGTATTATGGTATTAAAATTAATATTAATTTTTATAAATTAATTATAAAATATATATTTATTACACTTTTAACTTGTATTCTTAAAATATAATTTAAATAAATCCTTATTGTTAATGTTTTATAATCTAAAGTTATATTGTAAATCACAATTTCCGTAACATTATACCAAAACATAAGGCAAAAAATATTGCTGTCCGACAAAATTCAAGAGTATAAATAAAATCGCAGAACAAAACATTGAGAACCTCTTCACATGCAACACCCAATTAGAAAAAACAAAACCCACCACTCCACCCACAGTTTCAATCCCATGTGGCCTGTGAGTTCACACACAACCGTGAAGGATCTTCGCGGAAGGTGGACCGTGGAACCCACCACCACACCGACACTTCAATTTCCTCTGTTTTCCACTTTTTTTTAATCTTCCCTCCATTCTTTTTAATTTGATGACGACTCTGTAGTACTTAAACTCACGCACACATCCCATTCACGCTTGTATAGTCGTATTGTACCGCACTCAAATTCTTCTCCCTTCTCACATCATACACTGCTCCTCCCCAACCGCTTTCTCTCCTCTTTACTTAACTCCCTTCTTTGACGATTTTTTCCCCTAAAAAGGATCTCGCATCCTTTTCTTCCTCGTAATGCGTCGGAACTTAGCGGCGCTGGTGCTTTTCTGCGCCACGGCTGCTGTTTTTGCTATTGTTGGTGCGGATGACCCGTACAGGTTCTTCAACTGGAATGTCACCTACGGAGACATTTACCCACTTGGAGTTCGTCAGCAGGTCAGTCCAAAATCCAGTTGATGTTAATGGGTTTTTATTTGTTAATGGAAAGTTTGATGGGGTTTTTTTATTGATCTAATTGATTTCAAACTCTGAAATCTGAAATGGAAAGGATGCTCGCTCCCCCCCTGTTTTGTGATTGTTACAGGGGATACTCATCAATGGCCAATTTCCGGGTCCTGATATTCACTCTGTTACCAATGATAATCTCATCATCAACGTGTTTAACAGCTTAGACGAACCTTTTCTCATCTCCTGGTAAGCTCTTTATCTCTTCAACTTTTTGTAAAAATTTGAACACAGTGATTTTTTTTTTTCTTATCTTTATTTGAGTGTCTGTCACGTCACATGGGTACGTGTTCATGATCTGACAGCTTTTACTCTGTCAATAAAAAGCATGGCAATTGGCAATGTAAACCCAATCCCTACGCATTGCTTTACTTATTCTTTCTTTTTTCAAAAGATTTGTTGATTTGGAGAATGTTTGATTGGTCTGATTGCGCATGGGAATGGTTGCTTTGATTAGTTGGTTAATGACAAAAACATCAATGTGATCCATATGGGTATTGAACTGGATCTGATCTGTTTGAAACTGACTGGAACGAAATTCATTTTGACTTGGTAGACACTTTACCCTTTTTTGGGGGCTAGGCTAGCATGCGAGTAATCCTAGTGTTAGTTTCAGCACATGAGATGACTATGACTATTATGATAATAATGGAGTCTCCATCAATTGCTGCGAGGATTGCAAACTTCTTTACCTAATTTTGGACCTAATAATAATCATCCATGAATGCACCAGCAGCCATAGCCGTGCTGGTTAAGTGCACCCAGCCTATGGCAAATGTCATGGTTCGACTGGCTGGACTGCCTTTCTGCTCTTTGTAGTTATCTATCTTATCCCCATCGTTCAACTTCTCCAAGGTTCCAAAAAAAAAAAAAGGTCAATGATTAATAATGGTCCATTTTTTATTAGCTGTTAATAATGGTCCATTTTTTATTAGTTGTCTTCCATTCAAGAATTTGCTGGATGAAATCTTTGGTAGATCTGGATTTCTCGAACCTGGATAGAGACATGGCCCCAGATGTCCAATCGGGTTCTGTTCAAAATTTTTTTTCTACAACATTTCCCTCCTACAAAAAGTATGCACCTAAAAGTCAGATTCTCACACTCCTTTTTCTTTTCTCCTTTTTTTTTTCCTGGTAACGCATTCTTACACTTCAATGAATAAGTTTCTATTTTAAATCCTCTAAGTTAGATTTAGATTTTAAGTTTTGAGGTCACTAGAAAATAATTTTTCTTTTTTTCTGAGTGCATGTGACCAATGTAATGCAAAGATGTATTTTTAAAGTGGTTTTAAGAAAAATTAGTCATTTAGTATAGAAATGTGTATAAGCTTATAGAGAACACCATAAGAATACCATACCCATCCAAAAATGGTCTACATTTTGTATTGAATTACTAAATTATTATTGGCACATGCATGTGACAACTGACACTAGTTAGAAAATTTATGTACTTGTTTACTAGTTCTTGAATATGGGAATATTAGATTGAATTATGTTGTGAATATATAGGGCTGGGATTCAGCAGAGGAGGAATTCATTCGAGGATGGTGTGTTTGGAACAACATGCCCCATTCCACCAGGGAAGAACTTCACATATATTCTCCAAGTGAAGGATCAAATAGGAAGCTTTTATTACTTCCCATCTCTTGGATTCCACAAGGCTGCCGGTGGGTTTGGTGGAATCAGAATCCTTAGCCGGCCACGGATTCCAGTCCCCTTCCCGGATCCTGCCGGTGATTACACTGTTCTTATTGGAGATTGGTACAAGGCTAATCACACGGTAATCACCCCACACCCATATTTTAATTGATTCTGGTACTTCTGTTGGATAACTGGCATTTGCATATACGACTTTTCGAGATTCTTGAATTTTCCTTTTCAATGCACTGCTGCTGCAGCATTTTTGGCCATTTGACAGCTGGGTTTGCTGCTGAGCCTCCCAAGTCCCAACTTTTGTCATTTCCTTAGACACAATTAATAAGCGGTAGCCAACCGATGTTAAATGAGCAAGAAACCAAAGTCATCACATGATAAATGTTTTGTCTGGACTTTTAGCTAAAACATTGTTTTTTCTGACAAGCGATTTTGTCTACAATATCATGGTTACAGATTGATGTGGTATATTGAAACAATAATATTATAACACATAAGCAAATAATAGTAAGTAGGAGTCAAATAATGCAATTGTTATTAGCGTGGTAATATAGGGATAATATTTTTGTATTACATTTTTATGCAATTTTTATATATTATTAAATGAGTAAATGTATTTAATATTATATCTTAAATGAATAAAAAAAATTAATCATTTAAATGATATATAAGGTTGTACAAAAAAAATAATACAAAAAGATTGTTTATAAATCATTTTCCTTGTTATTAATGTGAGGTGTCAAATTGTTATTAATTTGTCATGTAGTTGCTGTTTTATTACATTGATACTTCCTTTGTCATTTTGTACACGGATTAAGGATTACAATTATTGTCATGATTAGCTAGGCAGTTAATTTGGGATAAAAATTTTGTCAAAATAAGGTATGGGATGGAGGGAATATGAAAGATTTCATGCCGAACAAATTTTGTTGTTTCTTGGTTTGTGAGTCCATGGATAACACTGGTGCAGACTGGCAGTAATATTTTTACTGCTGCCCAATCTTATGCCTGCAAAAAGCTACAATCCCAGTAACTAAAAACCCAAAAATTACTACTTTCCTTCTTGTCCATAGGCAATAAAGTGTGCTGTTAATTACCCTAACTTGTTGCATGCAACCTGGGCTAAGCTTGTGGTATGATGTCTTTGGTTGATAGTGAATTAATGATTTAGTTTGTGATTGTGTAGGATTTGAAGGCTCAACTGGATGGTGGCCATAAGCTGCCTTTCCCTGATGGAATCCTCATCAATGGCCGCGGATCTGGTGGTGCTTCCTTTAATGTCGAACAAGGTACAAAACTAAGAATTAATCTTATTCCTCTCTCATATCTAAAAATGCCATTCATTCATTCTCATTTCTTGTATTTTATTTTATAGGAAAGACATACAGGCTTAGGATATGTAATGTTGGGTTGCAAAATTCCCTCAACTTCCGCATTCAAAACCACAAGATGCAGTTAGTTGAAGTAGAAGGAACACACACTCTCCAGACAACTTACTCCTCTCTTGATGTTCACCTCGGTCAGTGTTCTTCTGTCTTAGTCACTGCCGATCAGCCTGCAAAAGACTATTACATTGTGGCGTCCAGCCGCTTTACAGCCCCCCAGGTCCTCACCACCACTGCAGTCCTCCGTTACAGTAACTCTGCTGGTTCTGCTTCTGGCCCATTACCAGGTGGACCCACCATCCAAGTTGACTGGTCCTTGAACCAGGCCCGTTCTATCAGGTACTTTTGTTGTTCATATCCATGCTACTGATGACAGAATGCTATCATGTATGTATACTTATGATTATTGATTTTGTCTGGTTTCAGGACTAACCTTACAGCTAGTGGACCAAGGCCTAACCCACAGGGGTCATACCACTATGGTATGATTAACACAACCAGAACCATCAGGATTGCAAATTCTGCTGGTCAGGTAAATGGCAAGCAAAGATATGCTGCCAACAGTGTCTCCTTTGTAGCCCCAGACACTCCTATGAAGATTGCGGACTACTTCAAGATTTCAGGAGTGTTCCGCGTTGGAAGCATTTCCGACAATCCTACTGGTGGAGGGATATACCTTGACACATCAGTCATGCAAGCTGACTACAGAGCATTCATTGAAATCGTGTTTCAGAATGATGAGGACATTATCCAGAGCTGGCACCTTGATGGTTATGCTTTCTTTGTTGTTGGGTAAGTAGCATTCACATTGTTAATCACCAAAAGATTAAATTGATTTCATATTTAAACCATTATGAAATGCAGCATGGATGGAGGGCAATGGACGCCAGCTAGTAGGAACGAGTACAACCTACGAGATGCTGTTTTCCGGTGCACCACTCAGGTGAGAACTGAAATTCTCACAATTTCTTTGGTTAGTCCAAACAACAATTTACTTCTCCCAAAATCTAGAAATAATGCGTGGAATGTGGCATGTGCAGGTATACCCGAACTCATGGACTGCCATATATATGGCACTAGACAATGTAGGAATGTGGAACATTAGGTCCGAGCACTGGGCTAGGCAATACCTCGGACAACAATTTTATTTGCGTGTGTACACAGCATCAACATCACTCAGGGATGAATATCCGATCCCCAAGAACGCCATTCTCTGTGGCAGAGCAAGCGGCAGAAGCACCAGACCTCTCTAAACAAACTTGGAATAAACCATCCGCTGTTGGGTAGGAAAATCCTATTTAGCTTAAGTGGATGAAGAGGATAGTTTTTCTTGCACTCTTATCTATTTCGCACATTAATGGTGCCTGTGGTTGCAGAGCAATGTATCGGTAGAACTTTGAATGACCTCAGCTCGAGGTCACATTCTTTATTCACTTTAAATTGTATTACCATTGTCATTTTTCAAGTTTCCACACTGCTAATTATTTATATAATGTCAGGATTGTCCTGTTTGTTTAGTCTTTGTAATACATATGGGTAATGTAATGAAGGGTTGCTTGCAGAAGCCTTAATATTGCTTAACAGCTTGTGCATGACTCCTCAGTTTAAAGTATGTCAATGGTTTCGAGACATTGATTTTGAATCTCCCTTGGCAGAAAAGAAGAAAAAGGACTTTCATCCTCTGTTTTTCTTCAGCTAATGGAAATTCTAAGACCTAGAATAAAAAAAGGTTGTTATAATAAGCACAAATGAATTAAAAAAACATTGGAAATTCCATCATATTAACTAGTGATACAACATTTAAAATGGGTAGATTAAAAAGAAAAAAAATATTATTAACACTCTTCATGTAATTAGTTAACTTAATGAGTATTACAATACTATCAAATCATCATGTCAATTGATAATAATTTTATACAAATTAAAAAGTATTTAAATTAATTGTTTAAATATAATTAATAATTACGATATTCAATATTGATAATCATTATCATTCATAATATAAATATTTTAATTCATCTTAATAAATTTAATAACTAATTGTTATTTTTTAAAAATTAAAACAAAAACTAATCTTGATTTCAAATTAAAAAATTTAAATTAATAAATATTAACTCATTTGTGGTAATTTAAACTTTTAGCCTTAGCTGATGCAACTCCAGTGAATGGTAGTAATACTAATCAAACCAACACAAATGAAGGCCAAGAAAATAAAAAAAATAGAATACTATTTTACAGGCTAGATTAATTCCACTATAAAAACAGGAATCATTTTGCAGAGAAAGTTTACAATATCAAAAGATCTAACTCTTTTTAGACGATTAGTATTTTATTGTTTGCACTCACAACTTTATCTACATTGATTTAGATGCACTAAACTCTTGATAAATATCAAAATTTTAACTGTTGCATTAGCATCCACCCCATTTCCTTTCTTCCAATTGTCCTTGTTTTGAAAAAAAAAAGTATTTTATTGTTCAAATCAGTTTTCAAACGATAAAATACTTTTTTAATAAAAAAAATTCAAACCAACATAAATAGAAGTTGTCTTAGTGGGCTTCTTTAAGCTGAACCAGAAAATATAAGATGGACTGAAAGCCTAATCATTCTCTGCTCATGGCCCAGTCCCATCTGCTCTCTCCAGACCAGAGGAATTCGTAGGTGTTGCCCCAAACATCCGTTGAAAAGAAGGCCCGACAATCCTCTGTAATTAGCACTATAGTATCTATTCTATCTAACCAATAAAATATTCCCACGTGGTCATCAAATTTCTTAAACATCCCCTTCGGTCAAATAGTCAATACATCCTGTGGCAATGGAAGTCGAATCCATCGACTTTTCCAACGCTCATCAACACCATACCACTCTGTTTATAGAGTGTAAACTGCAGCGAGCCTAAATTAAAAACCCTGCTTCCACTTTCCGGCGGGATCGAAGGCCCAAAGCATTCTGCAGCTGAAACCAGGATTCAGGCGGCATAACTTCGTCGTTTTCAGGTATGGTTTCTTGAATCCAGAGTTTTCTTTCCTCTTCGGTTTCCATTTCCATGTCCCTCGAGAATCTGCAGTCTTTGTTTCTTTGCTTAGGTTTACCGGTCGCAACTCCTCCTCAACTCTCCCTAACCGTTGCCGCTGCAAGTCCCGGGGGTTTGTGTTTGGCAAATCTGTATTGAATGTTTAGTCTGGTCTTAGATTAAAAATGAAAAAAAGATTGTTAAATGTACAGTTCTGTGGTCAGTCTAAATCTACAGCTAATAACCATTGCAAATTTTATAACCAAATTTAGTACTAAAAGCAAATGCTTACTGCTATTTTTAGTCATTAGAAAAAATTATTGTAAATGTTGATTGCGGTTCAATTTACTAGATTTAGAGGGCTGGAGGTTCAAGTTAGGCTTGTCATCCAATTAGAACATGAATTTAATGAATGAAATTTGAATTAAAAAAAGAAAAAAGGGGTTTCGAAGTTGGCTGGTCTAGTCTTGAACATTGTCACAAAGGCTTGGCCTACAAGTTAAGGGTTGCTCAATTAAAGTTCCGTGTTTCTTTGAATTAATTGGAGTTGTGTTTGGTTTTGGATGTTTACTGAGTATACTGCTTGTTCTTGATTTAGGATTTTGTTTGAGCAGTGGGGCTTACGCTACCTCGAATTTGTTTCTCTTCCATGGCGGTATGTTATATGCTCTTACTCCTGTTTGGTTATTTTGTTTTGGTGGTCCTTCTAACTTTGTTTTGGACATTTGTTTCTTGGTAAATTTTATAGATTGAGAAAATTCTTAAAGATGAAGCTAGTGAAGAGAAAGGGGAGCGTGCCAGAATGGTGAGTCATTCAATAAGATGCATCATATTGATACACTCTGCCGTTCTTGTCATTATGGATATCTTAGTTGATAAATGTTAGGTGTGACATCCTTGCTTTACGTTCAGGCATCATTTGTTGGGGCAATGGCAATTGCTGAATTGGTTAAGACAACCTTAGGGCCAAAGGGGATGGTAAACTTTCTTTACTTGTCTACTAAAGTTTTGTTTATTCTGCTTTAAATTAGGTCATGGCCTGTTTTCTAAAAGAAATATATTTGCAGGATAAAATCTTGCAGTCAACGGGTAGAGGACATCAAGTCACTGTTACAAATGATGGAGCTACCATCTTGAAGTCCCTCCATATTGACAATCCAGCAGCCAAGGTTCTTGTTGGTATCCTCAACCATTACTTTCTCTGACTCTCTGTTCTTTTGAGTAACAAGATTTATTGGGTTGTTAGTGTTCATTAATCTTGTCTGAGGTGTGAAGAAATATTTTTGTGTACGAGACATTACTGGGTGCTGATTAGGTTTCATTTTGAGGAATGATGAAAATTTATCTAGTCTAGTGAGAGATGCTAACAGGCTTTTATGACTGGAACAAGTATCTTTTATTTGTTCACAATCCTTAATATAAGCTTCAGATATATCAAAAGTTCAAGATGATGAAGTTGGTGATGGGACAACTTCTGTTGTTGTTTTGGCTGGGGAGCTTCTGCGTGAGGCAGAAAAACTGGTGGCAGCCAAGATTCACCCAATGACAATAATATCAGGTTACTTTTTCTTCTGCTGGTTTATTTCTTTATTCATCTTATTATTAATGCTGCTCTTTAATTAGGTATTAGATTTTACCGTGCTGCCTTCATTTGAAGTGTTGAAATCTTGGTTTGATTTTTCCATGTCCATAGCTTTAGTATGAGTTCTTGCATCTCTGTTCTGCTGTCATTTTGTTGTCAGTTTGTAGATGTGAGTCTCAGAGCTATCAGTCATCAAATATTAAGAAATTACATTGTAATGATGAGTATTACCTGTTATCTTTATCCCCTTCTCTCCACCCCATTTTTCTCCCTTCTTGGAGCCAATTATTTGCATATCTGGTTTAAGATTGTTGTCCAATTCTCTTTGAGATCTTTACCTTCTCATATCTATGGGGTTACTTCTTTTATTGCAGTTGTATGGGAAATATTTTCCTAATTAAAGGTTGACCAATTTGTGTTTGAACTTTAGGTTTCCGGATGGCAGCAGAATGTGCTCGTGATGCTTTGCTGCAGAAGGTTGTTGATAATAAAGAGAATGCAGGTAGTGTTGTCTTCTTTACCTTCTCATCCATCCTTGCTTATTTTTAGTCTACATCCTAGATTTTGATAACTTCTTGCTTATTTTATGATTTCAATAAATGTTCCAGAGAAATTCAAGTCAGACTTGATGAAGATTGCAATGACTACACTGAGTTCCAAAATTCTCTCACAAGATAAGGAATATTTTGCTCAGCTTGCAGTGGATGCTGTTCTAAGGCTGAAGGTGATGATTTCGGCAATTAAAAGATTCTTCATAACTGTTTTATTTCCATTAAATTTGGGGATTATATTTTTATTTATGTATTTTATTTTCATTTGCCTTCTTAATTGAGTTTTTCTTGTTACACTGTCTGAAACTGCAGGGGAGCACAAACTTAGAGGCTATCCATATTATCAAGAAACCTGGAGGTTCATTGAAGGATTCCTTCTTAGATGAAGGGTGGGTAAACATTAAACAATCTTATCATATTCTTTCTTGCCTTACATGTAATTTGGGTGCATCTAGTTAGTACTGGTACAGCAAGAAAGCATACTTTAAACATCATTTGCTTACTTAGTTTCTTATATTTTGTTCTCTTATGTCTTCTTTTGTTTAAGGCATGTTTTAGGATTTTAGTTACTTAGAATTGGAATATATGCTTTCAGATTCATTCTTGACAAGAAAATAGGTGTTGGACAACCAAAAACAATAGAGAATGCAAAGATCTTGGTGGCAAATACTGCAATGGATACAGATAAGGTAAAAATATATGGTGCACGTGTTCGTGTTGATTCAATGTCTAGGGTTGCTGAGATTGAAACAGCTGAGAAGGAAAAGATGAGAGAAAAGGTGCAGAAAATCATAGCACATGGGATTAACTGCTTCGTTAATAGGCAGTTGATTTACAATTTCCCAGAGGAACTCTTTGCAGATGCAGGCATACTTGCAATCGAGCATGCTGATTTTGATGGTATAGAGCGTCTGGCTTTGGTAACAGGCGGTGAAATTGCATCAACCTTTGACAACCCTGAGTCTGTTAAGCTTGGGCACTGCAAACTCATTGAAGAGATAATGATCGGTGAGGATAAGTTGATCCACTTTTCTGGTGTTGAAATGGGCCAGGCTTGCACCATAGTGTTGAGAGGTGCCAGGTATATTTCCTTAACATTTACCCATGTTTTGCTTCTGTGGCTTCTTGTATTTTGACTTGTTGCCTTCTTGCTGCAGCCAACATGTGCTTGATGAGGCTGAAAGGTCTCTGCATGATGCCTTGTGTGTGCTGTCTCAAACAGTCAATGACAGCCGGGTGCTGCTTGGAGGTGGTTGGCCTGAGATGGTGATGGCAAAGGCAGTGGATGAACTGGCACGGAAGACTCCTGGAAAGAAGTCTCATGCCATTGATGCCTTCTCCCGGGCACTTGTGGCCATCCCAACAACTATTGCTGACAATGCAGGTCTCGACAGTGCTGAGTTGATAGCTCAACTTCGTGCAGAGCATCAGAAGGAGGAATGCAATGCGGGGATTGATGTCATCTCCGGATCTGTAAGTACTGGAAGTGAAATATTTTAATATAATCCAGCATGCAAGTTTTGAGATCGTAATAAGTCTACTTTATTTTGATTGGTGGTTTGTTTCTTCTAAATGACAGGCAGGAGATATGGCTGAGTTGGGGATCTCCGAATCCTTCAAAGTAAAGCAGGCTGTTTTGCTTTCTGCAACTGAGGCAGCCGAGATGATTCTTAGAGTGGATGAAATCATCACTTGTGCTCCAAGGAGGAGGGAAGATAGGATGTGAAGATGACATTGATTTGGGAGGGGATCTAATATAATGAACACTTCTCTTCTCATCCACCGTAGAAGGTGGCTTTCATTTTGGTCAAACTGTAGAATTTTTTTCTTCTGTTTCTGTGGCTGTAGAACCAGAGAACTGAAGAAAAGTTTTGTGGACTGAGAAGAAGTTTTGTGGTGTGTTTTATTGTTGATTGAGAAATTAAAAGCCATGTTGGATTCTTCTTATGCTTAATTCGCTAGCCATGTGAATCTTCCTGTTTCATTTCTTCACAAAGACTCTCTACGCAAATTACATTACCTGTTCGATTATGACAGTAACTTTATTTTTCGATTAGCACATCTAGGAAATTCCTTCTAGTTAGAAGTTTGGGTTTCTACTACTACTACTCACATCAATTGATTTTGCTTATCTTCTTCTTCTTTTTTTTAAGTACTAAATAAGAAATATAGTTACTATTAGGGCTGGGCATGGTACGGTATGGTAACCATACTGCACTCAAATGATGGTAACC